GTAACTAAAGGATGCTTAGGACAGATACGTGGGCAAGTTGCTATGGCTACCAGCCACAGCAGCTCAGTGAGCCTTCCCGCTGCCTGTGTCCATGATTTTTTTTTTCTTTGATCAAAAGAGGAAGCAATGTCTACTTGGATGTTTTTGTCAGTAAGATAAACCAATACCTGGTGCTCCTTTAAGATCTCTGAGTGACGGACCAAAACATGACGGAGGGTAAAGAGAGGTGTGCCCCAACAACGTCTGTTCTCACTTCATGTCTAGTTGGGTTTACTTAACCTGAGTTCAAGCAAGAACCCAATGGAGCTCCAGGAGATTCAGAGGATGTTAAATATACTTTCTGACCCTTAGAAGTGAGTTTCATGCAGTAGCATCAACTTTTATGAATCCAAAAGTTTTATGGATCCAAAGAAAGCAGCTAGTTCCCTTCACACCACGCTCTTTAGAGCCATAGTCTACTTTAAAATAAACCTTACCATATTCTATCAGACTAGAGTTTTCATTGTCTACTGTCCTTAATGCTTTTGATTGTAAGGGATGAATCGGTTGGAAGGGGATAAATTAGGATCTAGTGTTATACCCATGCTGAAATCTACAACGATTTGTAAAAACGCTGGTGTTGGTGTGTATTTTACAGTGAATGAGGTATCTGGTGTGCTGCTCATCACACACTAACACAGACTTTCTCTCACCATCCACCCACCCTGTACTACAGGTATGAGGCAAAAGAATATTACGAGGCCCTTCCGGAACTGAAGCTGGCCATTGACCAAATTGACAACGGCTTCTTCTCACCCACTCAGCCTGAGCTCTTCAAAGATGTTATCAACATGCTGTTTTATCATGACAGGTGGGTTCCTCCGTGGTCAGACTGGATGCATGAGAAAGGGACAAAAGCATCTCAAACCAGCAGCAGCCCACTCATGGACCTGTGATCTGATTGGCTGCCACAAGCTTGGGGGCGGGGCACCCTCCACAAATGGTTTAAGCTTGAGAATAAGACCCAAATCTTGTGTCCTTTTTCTCTTCCCGCTGATCCATTCGGCTCTCACATACATACATGTGATGGGAGACATATTTGCATATGGGAACCACGAAACGGTGACCATTTAAAGTGGAATCCTGTCCCTGAATTTGTTCTGTCTTTCTTCCGACCTCACCCATACAAAAAACAAATGCAGATTCAAAGTCTTTGCGGACTACGAGGCCTATGTCAAGTGTCAAGAAAAAGTCAGCCAGCTGTATATGGTGAGTATGGGATGGGTTTCACATAGGCTGCTAAGGTTCATTGTTTTCTTTGTGTGATATCTAAATAACAGAGCCCCATTGACCAATCAGCCCTAGGGAAGCTTGGTAGAGTTCTTGTCTAGCGCATGCAAGGCTCTGAGTTTGACAACTTCCTCCCACTGCACCACCAAAAGGAAAAAAGAAGAGATAGAGAGTGAGTGAGAGAACTTTGTAGATGTTCAGATCAAAATCTTTTTTTCTGTTGACAAGACACACCGGGAGGGCTATGCCAGATACTGGAATCTGAGATTTCAGTAACAGTTGTAAACATTTTCATTGCTCTACTTTAAAAAGAAAGTCATCGGTGATTTCTATTCATCGAGCACTTACTGTGTAGCAGGCCTGTCCCCAGCAGCTCAGGATACAGACCTCAGAGGTGTGAGAGGCCTCTCCATGCTGAGCTCTGCCCCTCTCCCCTCAAGCAGCCTGCAACCCCAGGTTTCCTAACCAGAACTACACATCACAGTCGCCAAGGCTGCTGGTTCAAGATACAGGTGACAACTTACCCTTCCCCCACAGCGATTCTGACTGGCCGTGGGTAGAATTCGCCATCGATGTTTTGAAACATTTGCCAAGGTTATTACAAGACTGAGCCACAGTTTGGTTGCATAAGAACTGACCTGGTATTCTCTGAAAATATGATTATTAAAAAAAAAAAAAACTAGAGCTATGTGAATAAGTCTCCACGTGCAGTTATGCCCTTGTCAAACAGCCCTCCAGGAGTGTCTTGAAAAAGTATGGAAGGGTTTCCAGAGGAGCAAGCTCTGAGCTGAGACCCCAGGCGGGCTTCACGAGCATTCTTTCCCATTCCTTACTCAGGGCAGGTGACAGGCCAGGTTAGCTCATGCAGCATGCAGCCACCCGAGGCAGCCCTCTGGGGTTGTGAGATGAGACCCTGCCAAGCCTGTGCTGCCTTCCAGCCAGCCCTCATCTTCTAGGCAGAGTCAGATGAATCTCCTGACGGAGCCTAGACCCAAGTTCCAGTCAGCGCCTGTGAACAGTGAAGCAGGCGTTGCTGGAGCTAGGCATCTCCCTGGCCACTTCCTGAGCACGGATGGGACCAGCCCAGGCAGCCCCAGGAACTCAGGGGAAAGAGAGCCGCTGCCTGGAGAAATAGAAACCAACCAGAACAGGGGAGAAAACCATGAATGAGGGTGAGGACTAATGTCAAGGACAGTTAGACATAGAGGATCTAATGTCTAATCTTCCGGTAAAGCGAAGCCCAGATCCAGAGACCGTTCATCACGTGTGCAGCAGCATTTCCTTCATACCTGCCTGTTCCTAGTTCGAACTGCAGCTTCTGCTTTTTATAGTAATTGAATTGCTGAGGGTTAGTAAACATGACCCGAGTGGCTAGGAAGCCTACCATGAACTTCAGGGGTTTTTTTTTGTTTTTGTTTTTGTTTTTGTTTTGGTTTTTTTTTTTTTTTGGTGTGTGTGTGTGTGTGTGTGTGTGTGTGTGTGTGTGTGTGTGTGTGTGTGTTTTGGTTTTTTTGAGAGAGTTTCTTTGCACAGCACTGGCTGTCCTGGATCTCGCTCTGTAGACCAAGCTGGCCTCGAACTCACAGAGATCCACCTGCCTCCCCCAACTGCTGGGATTAAAGGTATGCGTCACCACCCCTGGCTTGTTTTTATTTTTATGTAGAAGTCTCTAAGCCAGAGTGAGCTGCCATGCTCTACTTTGGCATAGCTTCGGGTATGATGATAGTTTAATTCTTTTTTTTTTTAATTTTCCTAATGTGTTAACAACTTTGAATAACATCCAATAAATTCATAGAGATCTCTAAAAAAAAATAAAGCTGTAAATCAAATATATTTTTATATTCTTTTACAAAAGTGTAAAATTTTGAAATATTTCTGATTGAGAATGAAACCTTAGTTCACCCTGTTCTGAAACCCCGGTGGAGCTGTGGGGATTCAGAACAAGCCTGATGAGGCATAGGCCTTCAAAAGGAACAAGGGAAGCTAAGTGGGTCAGCCACGTCTGCCATGGCACTGTTAGCAATGGTCACTATTTTCCAAACTTTTTGAGTCATAGGTTGTAGCCGATGTATTCCTGTGTCCACCCAGCTCCTGTAGCTGCTCAGACCCAAGTAAACACACAGAGACTTATATTACTTACAAACTGTATGGCCGTGGCAGGCTTCTTGTTATCTAGTTCTTATATTGTAAATTAACCCATTTCTGTTAATCTATAAGTTGTCACATGGCTTGTGGCTTACCGGTACTTTACATCTTGCTTCTCATGGTGGCAGCTGGCAGTGTCTCCTGACTCAGCCTTCCACTTCCCAGCATTCTCCTCCCTGCTTATCTTGCCTATACTATACTTCCTGCCTGGCTACTGGCCAATCAGAGTTTTATTTATCAATCAATCAGCAACACATTTACAGCATACAGAAAGACATCCCCAGCAATAGGTTAAACCTCTTCAAACGTCCTCTCATGGATAATGAATATTCGTCTCTTTCTCCCCCTTTAGGTAGAAGAGAGGTTATTCCATTAATTTTTGTTTTATTTATGTGTGTCTATGTGAGTGGATGCCAAGTATATGCAGGTGCCCATGGGGACCAGGAGAGGTATTTAGATCCCTTGGAGCTGGAGTTACAGGCAGTGTTGAGCTACTCAGTAGGGGTGCTGGGAACTGAACTCAGGTCCTTGAAAAGAGTAACAGGTGCTCTTAACCACCAAGCCATCTCTCCATCCTAGTAATAACGCATGGAAAATATGGCTTACATGCTAAAACACTGGAACCCTAGCCGGATTACCAATTAGAGAATTCCCATCCACAGATTTTCATTCTCTCTCCCTCCCTCTCTCTCCTTCCCTCCCCCCTCTTTCCCCCTCATCTCTGTCCCTCTCCCCCTTTCTGCCCCCTTCCCTCTCCCTGTCCCTCACACACACCCCTCTGCATGCTCACACTATTATTGCTCACACTCACTCGCTCGCTTTCTCGCCCTCTCTCACCCTCTCCCTCACTCTCTCTTGGGAGATAGAGTCTCTCTGTGTAGCCCAGGCTGGGTTTGAACTCGAGATCTTCTTGCCTTAGCTTCTCAAAGGCTGGGGTGACAAGCATCTACCACCATGCCATGCCCATGGTTTCCCTTAAAATGAAAAATGCCTTTTCATCCCTAAGAGAAATATATACCCTGAATATGAAGAAAGCGTAGTCTGCTCTAGCTGGCTGTCAGCAGAGCCAATGCATCTACAAATCGTTCTGGTTTGTCCCTATGATTTCCTCTGTGAAGTGTGTTAGGCCTGACGTTTGTCAAAGCTTGCCAGGCACACGGGCCTGGGACTGGATGTGTTTATGTCATTCACAGAATCAAAAAGCCTGGAACACAATGGTACTCAAAAACATAGCCGCCTCGGGGAAATTCTCCAGTGATCGCACCATCAAGGAATACGCCAAGGACATCTGGAACATGGAACCTTCGGATCTGAAGATTTCCCTGTCCAACGAGTCTAGCAGGGGGATCAATGGGGAGTGAACAGTGGCGCGTCGCTCAAAAGGGAGTGACTTCTTATTGAACTTGAATATTTTTATAGCTTCGTTGATTCTGTTTTGTTATTAAATAATTAGTTAAGTGTCTCTGGGAATGGGAAAGGAAAATGTATGGCTGTACCAGAGCTAAAAATAAAATGTCGACTTCCTGTTGTCGATCAGTGGCGTGCTAGGATTACTTTCCTCAAAAGTAATCACAGAGCCGGAAAACTGCTTGGAACTGCTTAATGCCATTTAAAAGAACTAAGGTAAAATATTTTCACTACTGTCGGGAGTTCAAGCTCCAGGCTGCTGTCTCAGTCCCCTCACGCTGTCATAACAGAAGGTGCTAATCTAGATAACCTACAAACAACGTAAATTTAATCTCACAGCTCCGAAGGTAAGAGAAGTCCAAGTTCAAGAGGCTCCCAGGTTCAGAGTCTGCTGAGAGACGCACTCTCTGGTTCCTAAATGGTACCCTCTCATCCCGTCTCAGCTGACACCAACGTTCATACACCAGCAGCCACCTTACTCACAAATATTCCCAGCAGGTTTCATAAGTGGACATTTATAGATGAGACCAGATCACATTAAATTCTGATTCTCCACATCGAGGACTTGACATGATTCGCAAGTCAGACGATGATGAGCTAAAGACCATTCCGTGCAGCTTTCTTTATTCAAATGGCAGGTGGAAGTATCGAGGGCATCTGTTCATCCAAGTAGCCCACTGCAATTTTGCATAAAGAAGCCACACAGCTCAGGTGCCATGTGTACCGCATCTTCTAGAGATTTCCACTCCTCCCAGCCCTCATGCCCACTGCTGGCTCAGGAAGTCTCTGCAGAAAGAGGACACAGGTCAGATCACACTTGGTCTGAATAACTCAGGGCTTGCCTTGATCGCCCATTGTGGCAGGGCTAATTGAGTCACAGTTATCAAGAGGAGTTCTCACCTCACACTTCTCAGCAGCATGGGGCTTTTACAGAGAAGGTTGTGGTGGAAGCCTGGAGGGAAGACAACCATTTTGACCCTGTCTTTGTTCCTGTAGGCACTGCGTGCAATTTCGTAGAGCTGCAAGAGAAGCGAAGACAGTCGAGGGCAGTGATATCCCGCCACAGATCGCCTAGTCTGACTTTCCTAAAAGGGAAAGGAACTTGGGGAGTCTCTCACCAAGTCAGACCCTAGAGGTCCACATCCCTCCTCCCCAGGTTCTCTATTGGCTGTTTCTGCAGTTAAGGACCAGAACAATCATGACTAATGGAAAACACTAATGAACCCATACTTCCTCTCACCACACCTCATTGCAAAGGCTCAAAGAATTGCTATGGGCCCACTCCAGCACAGCGTTGTTCAAAGGAAAACATCATTAGCGGTAACATGGGGGAGGGGGGTCCCACTTAGCCACAGACCCCAGGTGAGGGACCAACGTCTAACCCTACCCTCCAAACTCCTTTCAATTAAGCAGCTAAGAGCACTGACACTCATTGTAGAGATCGGGGAACTTGACTCCCGGAGTGTAGAGCAGGCCCTATAATGTCAGAGACCTTTTAAGCGCTAGTCAGAGGTCAGCTAGATGAAGAAATGGTAGGACTCTTGGGCTACCTGCTTTCCGTACTCCAGGGGCACTGTCCTGTCATCTTCTCCATGCAAGATGAGAAGCGGGGAGGACAGGAACTTCACACTAGGGCAGATGGGGGGAAAACGCCCAGTTTAAGGATTCAACCTGAGCTCCCAAGTCACACTTCTAGTGACGTATGATGTTCGCCCAAAGCTCAGAAAAATAAAATCTCCCTTCCAAGGAGTCACAGCTTCCCATGTGCAAAACTTCACCTAGTAACCACTTTATCCCCCACCCATGTTTCCTCTGTTTGATTTGCTTGTCCAATTGAATTGAATTAATAATTAATCACATCTATGTGAATTTTAATAATACTGAAGAAAATGCACACTGGAATAATGGATTTGCATGGCATTCGTAGACCTTATCTTTTTCTTTATTATACTTCATTGTGTAATGCCTGGAGTATTTTAATTAAAAGTCTACAAAGTAGGGAGATGGTAGCCCAGTGGATATCCAACTGGCTTCCTCCAGTTGACCTACATAACAGCTCACAACCATCTCTAACTCCAGTCCCAGGGGATCTGACGCCCTCTTCTGACCTCCTTGGGTACTATACATACATGGTGCACAGACAAGTACCCCCACACACATAAGATTAAAATAAATCTTTTAAAGTCTACAAAACAAGGTAACTCAAAAATAAGAAAACTGCTGGGCGGTGGTGGTGCACGCCTTTAATCCCAGCACTCGGGAGGCAGAGGCAGGCGGATCTCTCTGAGTTCCAGGCCAGCCTGATCTACAGAGTGAGGTCCAGGACAGACTCCAAAGCTACACAAAGAAATCCTGTCAAAAAAAAAAAAAAAAAAAAAGAGGGTGAATGTGCAGTCCCAGGTGTGATTAACCACATGGCCAGCCCAGTTTGGCAATACAAAAGGTTGCTGGCATGCAGAAAAACTTCCATTCTCAGGGCTTACTCAGACACTTCCATATCCTTCCAAATTCATCACTAAAGGTTACTTCTCAGAATGCTAGCTTTCCTTGAGTGCCAAAATAAGAAAAAGGATATAATAACAACTGCCTATTTGAAAGCATCCTTAAATTATTTCTAATCATTATCTCTATTGCCAGGTCATCTGGTTGTTATTACGTGTGTTTGTGCTACGTGTGGAATAAAGACTTAGCAGTCAGGGACCCCCATAGATGGTTAGACTAGACCCTAGCAGTCTTTCACTGGGCTCATAAAGACGCATCTTTAAGATGTCAGAAGTACTGGATTGGAGCAAGCATTGACTCAGACATACAGATAACAGGAGATCCTGAAATGTGTACAAACCCTGCTCCAGATCTAGTGCCCATACTAGCATGAAACCCACCAAGAAGGAAGGCCAGTACCCCGAGTTCTCATCTAGAATGCCATGGCTGTTACTCAAGAGCAAGAGCAAGCATCTTGGTTTGCTTACTTTTCATCACTAGGGAAGACTATTTTGTCTTCTTTAAGGGCATCCGTAAGAATGCTTAAACATCTTGGTAGCTTCTTGCAAATCTATTTTTAAAAAAGAAAAACCAAAGAGGTAAGTCACTGCTTGTCCCACAACCGTCTAGAATACATGGTTGCAAGGTCTCAGAACAATTTTCCCAAGCAGGCATACAACTTGTTATACCCTCTTGTTATGAACCCCAAGTAGTAACAGAATAGCCACTCTCCAGCCATATTAAACTTCAAAAACTCTTCTGGCTCTTCAAAAGTAGTTCCTACAATTGACGAATTTGGAGGAGGAAACCAGAAATGATCAGAGAACCAAGCCACATATCAGTTCTACCCTCAAAGACAATAACTGTCAACATTTGGTTGTATCTTCCTATATTGCTTCATTTCAAATACATGTGACAGTCAAGCTCTTATTCCTCTGTTCTCAAAGGAGCAGTAATAAGCAAAATCTAAAACTTGCTTCTAATGCAAGCAGACTTAACTAGTTTGTTTGGGGAGCAGCATTCAGATTAGACCAATTCTGGTGAGGGAATTTGATAGGCAGGTAATTGGTTTGAGAGGATTTGAAAACAAAATGGTTAAAAGTGGTTTGTTATTGTGATGCTTCAAAAAACATTTCAGATTTTGACACTAGCCACAGGACCCCAAATACAGCAACTGACTTTCTATGCACACTGAATTTCCCTTCTAATGGCAATCTGCAGTAAACAGAGTAGGAGCTGAGTCTGCCTTTCAACACTGCGATCATGTCATCGCATAATTAGTTCACAAGCCCTAAAATGTTTTTGTTTTTGTTTTTGTTTAAGATTTATTTATTATGTATACAATGTTCTGCCTGCATGTATGCCTGCAGGCCAGAAGAGGGCACCAGATCTCATTACAGATGGTTGTGAGCCACCATGTGGTTGCTGGGAATTGAACTCAGGACCTCTGGAAGAGCAGGCAGTGCTCTTAACCTCTGAGCCATCTCTACAGCCCCTGCCCTAAAATGTTTTAACTGAAAACATGGAGCAGAGGACAAAGACCCTACACATCACAGCATCCTTCCCCCACCTTCTGCACCCCCAAACGACATCCCAAACCCAATCTTGGTCCTCTAGCTCCACTACCACCAGCCCAAGCCACTCTACCTATGGACCTAGGCAGCTCCCATTCCCACTCTCCCCTCTGTAAATCAGATCCCAGTGCTGACAGCCTGGCACCCTCCAAGGATGCTTGGATTAAGCCAAACAGGCCACCTTGGCCTTTGAGGCCCTGCAGAGTTGGGTGGCGGCCTCTGCTCCCAGACCTTTGTCACTAAACCCCTCGCTGGCTAAGTCCGATTCGGCTGCCTTCTGCTTCTAGAATCTTACAAACTCCATAACAAGGCCTTACTTTTGCCTTTTTCTCCACCATAGACCTCTAGATTTTTGGCTCAGTGGGTCTGAGCTGAGATGACTCTTTCTTTCCTTTTAAATATAATTTTTAAGAATTTTTGAGATTGTAATTTAATTAAGACATTTCTCCTTTCCATTTCTTCTCTCCAAACCCTCCTATAAACTCACCCTCCCACTCTTCGTCAAATTCATGGCCCCCTTTTCCACTAATTGTTATTGCATGCATGTATATATATATATATATATATATATATATATGTAGATGTTATACATAGATGTATATATAATCTTAAATATATAAATATAAATTATACATATATGTATATTTCTAAACATAACCTGTTCAGACTGTGTAATGCTACTTGTATGTACGTTTTCAGGACATTTTTTATAGAGGTTTCTCCTAACCAGCTCTGAAGTCTTGCCTTCAACATTTCCTGTGACACAATGCTACCCCTTTCACGGCTAGTCAGTATTCTCTTATTGGGGCTAATCTTCTACTTCTGCAAGGATGTAATTTCTTCACTGGTGAGGGGTTGGGGTGCACAAGACATTTCTCTTTTCTTCTGTTACCCTCAAAATCTGGAAGGCTTCCTGGTGTATCAAAGATGTCCAATAAATATTTGCTAGAGGTGGAGGGGATCTTTTTATGCAAAAATCCCTGTGAGCACCTTAAGCCATCAGTCATTTTTCCTCAGTGGGCGGGATTTTCAGGTTTCATTCTTAGATTTTTACAAAGGACAGCCCAGCAGCCTCTCCCAAGGTTCTCCTACTGTAGCTTTGAGGGGAGGACGGAAGGATGCCATGTAGTGAGCAGGACCTTGCAAAGGACAGAAATGGGCACAGAATAGGCAGGCCAGCAAACTTCATAAATGTTTTTTTGATGGAATTTCACAGTGATGCCGGGCTGGTTTTGAACTCATGATCTTCCTGCTTCAACTTTCTGAATAGCTTATGTTATAGGTACACAGTGACACACTTAAAAAATGTTTTCTATTTATTTAGGGTGTGTGTGTGTGTGTGTGTGTGTGTGTGTGTGTGTGTGTGTGTGTGCACATGCACATGCCACATGCCATGTGCACATGGAATTCAGAGGAAATCTTGTAGGAATGCATTCTCTCCTTCAACATGTGGATTCTGGGGGTCAAACGCAGGTCATCAGGCTTGGCAGCAGGTGCCTCTACCAGTGAACCATCTCACCAGCCCTAGCTTCCCATTTTTTAAAAAAGGGGAAAAAAAAATCGTTAACATTGAGGCTACAGCCTGCCACCTGGAGCGTGCTACTGGAGAACAGTGACTTCCTAAATGTCACGGTTATTTTAAGCATTTTTTCCCCTGATCTTTTAGAAGGGGGATTCACAAGCCTATGGGGAGTTTAGTTAGCAAACTGGCACAGGACAGGGCAGCCAGCGCTTAGGACACAGTCCTGCTGCGTTGGGAGCCTGCCCGGTGGCTCGGGTGCCTGGCCTGCGTGTTCTCCAGCTCTCTGTGAATGACCTGTATTCAGGTGTGGGCCGGCTTTCTCACACTGCCTCTCCTCTGTCTTCTCCCTCCGTGTCCACGAGTTACTAGGTTTCTTTTCTTTTTTTTTTTTTGTTGTCTCCTGATTTCCTCCCTCCTGGAGCTGAGACTCGTCGGGGGGAAAGTTCAATAAGAGAGACCCTTCAGCAATTCATCTCAAATTCTGAAGGAGTAAGAAGAAAGCAGACCCAAGTCAGTCTCCCATCATCCCTCACTCTCTATCAGGGGAGATGCCCTTTGAGACTAGAAGGTCATATCATATGGTTACCACCTGTCCAGACCAGAAAGGCAACCTCTTAACTGGTCTTCCTACCTCCCCTTTTCTTCTGTAATAATACCAGATAAACATTCTTAGAATGCCAAAGGCATGAAATCTGACGTTTCCAACCTTTGGGGGTGCCATACCGTATGCTAAACCCCTCACTCCTGGCTTAACTGTGAGCCATCCACAGCTGCCCCCAGCCTTTCACGCCAGGACCGCTCACCTCCGGCTTAGTGCCTGGACTTAGAGGATGCAGGTGCTGAGTGGGCAGGCCTTTAGGCTCTGCTCTCCCTCACCTATGAGCAGCGGTAAGGGCTGCACACTGAGAGGGATGCTGGGAGGATGGAAAAGGATGAGCGTGGAAGGTGTACAGGAGCCCGTACAGGGTTCCACCTGTACCTGCCTCCACCCCCGCTCATGAGCTCAAAGCCTCATGCTCCTCTAGTTCCTCGTTGCTTTACCTTGTTTTCTGGAAATTCACTTAGATCTGGGCTATCTGTAAGACACACACACACACACACACACACACACACACACACACACACACACACACCAGAGCACAAGGCCATCTTCTTTTCTCCATTCTTCCCGCCCTGAAATTACTGTTCTGTCTTCTCCCCAATACCCTTTTTAGTTCACTCTGAAACAGAATGAGTGGAGAAAAGAACAGGCATCACTGGTGTCCTAACCAGCAGCTGGCTACCTCCCATGCAGTCTCTTACATCATTTGTTTGTTTTTGTAACCATCTTGTGCATTAGGCATCTACATCTAGTGGTAGAGGCTAGATTTGAACCCACATCTGTCTGAATTCACAGTCCACGCTCATCACTTACCCCATCCTAATTAACAAGAAGGGGTGAATCTCTGCGGTCATTTTTGACTTCCATCATGTCCTCCCTCCAACCAGAGCATGGGGCAGAGGACCTGTCTCTACCTCCACTTACGTCACATCATGCTATCGCTTACTCAACGGTAACCATCAGGGGATGGTACCACATGTGGATAGAAACAGATGCTCTAACCCACTGATGCTTGCTATGCAGACACAACTGCAGTTGCTTTTCGTATGTATGTATGCTCATTAATTTAACCGTCACAGCAAATTCGAATACACTTTTCTTATCCTAGTTTATAGAGGAGACAGACGACTAGCGCATTAAGAAAAAAGTTAGCCCAAGATTACCCAGCTGTGAGCGATGATTCAGAAAATCAAATCTGAGCAGTGACAGACACCAGAGCCAGGGTTCTTAAAGACTGAGAAATCCTACAGGAGAGTTTACCTCTAAGTTGTGGAGTGCTAATTACGTCCATCGACTCCTGGTTTGCAACTTTAAACTGTCCTGAGGTACAAAAGTGGTACCCATGGAGCAGAAACTGTAAGTACTTTGAATGTTGATCTTTCCCTGGATGTGGATCAATCCCTGCCGGATTGCAGTACCCAGTTAGCCATGTGATCACAAACATCCTGGACTCCACTGAGCTGCCACACCAGCAGGGAGGGGTGTCATGGAGGCATGAGTTTACCACTGAGTGTCAACAAACATCTGCAAACTTTATGCCATTTAAAATTAAACTTTTAAAAACTGGGAGAAGCTGGGTGTAGTGCATACACCTGTTGTCCTAACTACTTAGGAGGCTGAGGGAAGAGGATCACTTTAGCCTGGGAGTTCTGGGCTATAACATAGCACTCCTCCATGGTCTCTGTTTCAGCCTCTGCCTCCAGGTTCCTGCCTTGAGTTCCTGCCCTCAGTGGTGGACTATAAGTTGTAAGATGAAATAAATCCTTTCCTCCTCAAGTTGCTTTTGGTCATGGTGTTTTATCACAGCCAAAAGTGTCTCAAAAAATAAATAAAAACAAAAACAAAAGAAGTAACTAATACCCCAGGCTTGGTGATGAGTGTCCGTACCTGCTGAGCCACCTTGCCAACACCTGAACGAGCTGACAGTGAAAACAAGTTTCAAAACTCGTGGGATTCAGAAGTGTGGCTTAGGTAGAACATGTCCTACCACATAAATTAGAAAATAAACCCCCAAATAAATTATTAGTTGATGCCGGGCCTAGTGGTGCACACCTTTAATCCCAGCACTCGGGAGGCAGGCGGATCTCTGTGAGTTCGAGGCCAGCCTGGTCTACAGAGTGAGTTCCAGGACAGCCAGAACTGCACAGAGAAACCCTGTCTTGAAAAGAAAAAAAAAAAAAGAACATAACAAAAGATTGTTCAATGAGTAATAGATACCATCTCATGAAATCAACAAAAAAATAAATGTGATAAAAATACAACGAAGAGAAAATGATACATATACTTGTTCTGATCCAAAAGGCCGGGAAGAGACCAGTGAGGGAAGATAAGGGAAGGACAGGAACTGAGGAAGCAGAAGGCATTAGCCTGACAACTAGAAAACTTGACAAAATCAACCGCCTCCTGCTGTTGGCACCCTGCCAGGACCACACAGCCAGCCGCTTGCTCTCATCTTGGGAGACAGAAGCCGTGGTCTCTGTCCTTCCTCCACTCTCTACTGTGGGGACAGCAGGAAGGACACTCATGCTGCCCTCTGTCCTTACCCAGCACTTCACTCCCTTATGGAGCTTTCCTCCGCGCCCTCCCACAGTCCACCACACACAAAGGCCCCGCCTTGGGTTAGCGTCTCACAGAAAGTGTTCGAAAGAAAAAACTGAAGAAACCTGAATGACAACTAAACAAGCAAACATAAATGTGAAAGTAAACAAAGGACAACAAGATCTTCATGCATCGTCAGTACTAGGAAGGTATCCGTTGATCCAATGCAATCCCAATCCAAGTCCCGGAATTTTTGTATAAATCATTAAGAGTATTTGGGAATATATATGAAAATACAAAGGGTTAAGGATAGCCAAGGTAACACGAGAGAGAGGGCTCAGAAGTTAAGAGCACTTGTTGCTCTTGCAAGAGGACACAGGTTCAGTTCCCAGCATCCTCATGGTGGCTCACAACCATCTGTTACTCCAGTCCCAGGGACCACAACTTCCTCTTCTGGCCTCCTTGGGTACAGCATACATATGGTACATTAGATATACATGCAGGCAAAATACCCATACACATAAAATAAAAATTAAAACAGAAAAAAATAAGAATACCAAAGGCAATGTTGAGTATGAACAAAATTGAAGAACCTGTACAGCAAACATTGAGATATATCACATGCTAAAGTGATAAAATGTTGTAATAGTCACACGAGAATGGACAGACAATGAAGAGAAATGAGACTCTACCAATTGTGCACACATTTGTCCACACATAGACTCCAATACACGTAAATACTGGTGCTGCAGAATGAGCAAGTTCATTTCATAAGTGGTCCTGGGTCTATGGACACAAGCATCCAAACCTGTGAACTATAACTTTTAACATAAAAGATAAAACATTCTCCAGAAAAGAGCATAGAAAAATGTCTGTGTAAATTTGGGTAAGCAGAATTTTGTTGTACAAAACACAAAAGCATATACATCAAAAAAAAAAAATTGGTGAATTGTTCCACATTAAGTTTAGGAATATTTCTTTATGGGAGAAAAAAGGCCAAGCAAAGTACTGTAATCTACCTGCAATACAATTTCCTAAGGACTCATGCTAGCATCTACGAAGAACTTCCCCAAGTAAAATACAGCTCAATTTGAGAATGGGAGAAAGACATGAACAAGTCCATAAGAGATGTCCAAATGGCCAATGAACATGTAACAACACCTAACCTCATTACTCAGCAGGGAAACACACATCAAAACCATGGCAGTAGACCAACCCAGGGCAAACCTGGATACAATTAAGATTCTCACACACTCGGTGGGAGACAGGCGGGTAAAGTCACTTTTGAAAACCACCCAGCACTGTAAGTGCTCCAGCAGAATCTCACACACAGCAACTCATTCCTCGAGCTCACCTAGTAACACAATTGCACGTGAGCTGAACACAAGTGGGGGCTGGAGAGACGGCTCAGCGGCCAAGAGCACTGGCTGCTCTCCCAGAGGACCTGAGTTTCCCAGTCCCAGCACCTGCGTGGCAGCTCACAACCATGTGTGACTCCAGTCCCAGAAGATCCAGCGCCCTCTTCTGGCCTCTGCAGGCACTACATGCATGTGGTGCATAGACATACATACAGGCAAGACACACAGGTAAGAAAAAATAGAGTACAAGTGTAAGAGGACACACCAAGGTACATAGCTTGATGGTAGAGCATGTGTGAGGCCGTAAGCTCAAGTCCCAGCATACACACACACACACACACACACACACACACACACACATTCACACAGAGAGAATATACACAATAACAATGTTATGAGTTGCCTCACACTGAGAGGGGTGATCTGAATGTCCATAAGTAACATGATAGACCTATAAATCATGGTATGTGCATTATAACTGAACACCATATAGCAACGGGAATGACCTCACTACAGTTTTACACATGCAGAGTAAAATCTCCTAAGTATGATATTAGGTGAGAAAGCAAGTGGAATGTAACCTATGGAGTTATACTTACATAGAAGAAGCTGAAATGGAACTAGACTCCTTGGAGAGACACACGTGGATAGTATCACTACAAAGAAACACACAGCTGTGGCTGCCCTCTCCCTGAAAACACTTAAGCAAACTTCAGAAAACTCTGTGCTGGCTTATGGCACAAAACATTTCAGAAATAAACAGATTAAAATGTCCCTATGATGCCTTATAGCATGAAAGAATTTAAATTTTGTGCCTGTATCTCCTCTAAACCCTTTGCCTTTCCTCAAACTCCTCAGCTAACCCCTCATTTGCTAACATTCATTTTGGGCATGTGACTATAAGCAATCAAAAATTAGGCCTGGAGAAGTGTGTAAAATCGGGGAATTGGGTCAGAGGTGGTGGCTCTCGCTGTAATTCCAGAAATCTGGGAGCTTGAGACAAGGGGAGAGTCATTGGATGGAAACCCGTCTGTGCTACTCAGTGTGAGTTCAAGTACAGTCTGAGCCGTGAAATGAAACCTAGCTCAAAAAAAGATAGTAAATAGTAATAGTAGTAGGATGATGTACACAACAGATTTTTTTTATACTCATCTTTATGCTTTACTTTCTTGAGAAGACTGTTGACCATATCTGGAGTACTATGTAAAGGCATTTTCTCTAGAATCTTCCTTATGACAAAATAATGTAAGAGATATGGCTGGCATTCATAGAGCTGAAACTGATGTATAAAATTTTATTTTCAATTTAAAAAGAGTAATTATTATAATAAATCTATGTCTAATCAGTTTTAAAATCATAAAATGTGTACTAACCAGTAGTGCAGGCACTAAAATAATTATAAAATATATATAGTTAATTTGGGGGAAGAAACCTTTCACTTAATCAGCTCCTCTGTCTGTTAGAAGCCCTTGTGCCTTCTGTAGTAAATTGACCAAGGCTAGAACAACTCAGGATCATACAAAACTCATTTAAAAATGAGCCATAATTAGCCAGGCTGTGGTGGCACATGCCTTCAATCCCAGCACTCGGAGGACAGAGACAGGTTGGATTCAGGACAGGCTCCAAAACAACATAGAGAACGGTGTCTCAAAAAACAAACAAACAAACAAAAAAAACAACCAAAAAAGAGCCATATTTATAAACACCTGGGTATAGAAACAACCTACACACTGACACAGGGTGAGAGGAACGGGAGACTCACCTTTAACAAGGGATAGTTGATACTCGCCACCAACATGTTGGTAAATGGAGCTTCTAAGACAATGGCATCAACGGGACATCCTAGAAAATAAAAACAATTAAAAAATAAATGAGTGACTCTCCTCTTCAAATACCAAAATACCACCTTCCCTAGACAAGGGGTCCTTGGGGTCTTGCACACAAACTACCTACATTAAATCCATTTGTGAAGTTTTTTAATATGCAAGCTCCTGAACCCCACACCATACCTGGGGGACAGTCTTGGGGCAGGGATAGAGAGAGAGAAAGAGAGAGAGAGAGAGAGAGAGAGAGAGAGAGAGAGAGAGAGAACATGCATGCATGTTTATGTGAGTGCACATGCACATGCAAGCAATCTTACTCATGTGTGATATGAATGTGGAGGCTAACCTCAGATGTTGTTCCTCAGGAACTGTCCACCTTGTTTTTTGAGAGAGTCTCTCATTGATCTGGAGCTTGCTGATGAGGCTAAGCTGGCTGACCAGTGAACTCTAGTAATCCTCCTGTCTCTGCTTCCCCAGTAATAGGACTAGAGGTGTGCCACACAGTGGGCTTCCCCAGTGATGGGACTAGAGGTGTGCCACCACAGTGGGCATGATGGCAAGCACCTTTCATCCCAGCACCTGGGAGGTAGAGGCAGGCAATCTCTTTGAGCATGTGTCCAGCTTGGTTTACAGAGTGAGCCCCTATCTCAATAAATAAGTGAATAAATAAATATCCCACAATTGCACCACTGTTCTTGGCTTTCTCACATAGGTTCAGGGGACACCACTCATGTCCAAAGTGAGCGTGGCAAGCATTTTCCTGGCTGAGGCACTACTCCAGCTCAAGAATATGCGTTTTTAACAAGCCCTCTCCTTCTTGAGTATGTCTATGCACATGATGGCTGGAACTACTGCCTTCTACTAAGAATGCAAGACTTCCAGGGCTCAGAAAATATAAGAAAGCAGAGTATTATGTGGAGAAAGAGGCTCTGCAGTCCTTTCTAAAGGATAGGCCAGAGGCTGATTGAGTTGTTTGGTCAATGCTTAGAGAGCAAGTAGAAAATGTATATGGAAAAGAGGGATGTTGTGGAATATTACTTTAACTACAAAAGGTGTGTTGCATTTGTTTATGTTGAATTTATTTAATTATGTAAAGATGTGTTGCTGTTTTACCTCACCTGCCTAAGGCACCTGATTGGTCTAATAAAAAGCTGAACAGCTAATAGCTAGGCAATAGAGGGATAGGAGGGGCTGGCAGGCAGAGAGAATAAGTAGGAGGAGGAATCTAGGCTTTAGAGGAGAGAATGAGAGAGAAAGAGAGGGAGACACCCAGGGCCAGCCAGTCAGACAGCCAGGCAGCCACCAACCAGCTAGACACTGAGTAAGACATACAGAAGGAAAGAGAGGTAAAAAGCCCTGAGGCAAAATGTAGATGAAGAGAAACAGGTTAAGTTATAAGAGCCGGCAAGTTATAAGTTATAAGAGCAAGTTATAAGTTATAAGAGCACAGCACATGCTGCCCTCCCAGCACTGGGGAGGCAGAGGAAGGAGGACACCTACAGCTCACTTGCCAGCCAGTCTAGCTGAGCCAGAGAGCGCCAGGCTCGGTGAGAGACCCTGCTCAAGAGATAAGGTGGAAAGCAATTGAGAAAGATGGCTAGCATCCAATCTCTGGCCCCTGCAGGCATGCATGCCTACACACATACAGACACATATACACATATTAGACACACACAGGGTTACTAACTATTTAGGGTGTGACAAGACAGTTAGGGAGACTATAGACCATTTCTCTTAGAGTTAGCTGTGACCTCAAAGGAGTTCATTCTAAGGAAAAAACGGTGCATTTGATATAAAACAACCCTGATAAGGTCTGAGCCCAGCCTCCAATCAGTTTAATCTCTGGTTGGTTCATGGTGACTTTATCTCCACCCAAATGCCTTGAAGGAGCAGAGCAGAGGATTCCTGGGAGAAGAGAGCATCACCCACGTCCTCAATCGATCATCTTCCATATGTGATTGCTATCCCTTAATCAAAAATAAGTGGGTCTATAAATAAAGAGAAAACAAAAGAGACTGGGTTGTAACTCAGTGGTGGTGCACTTGCCTATCATTTTTAATGCCCAGCACAGATTAAAAAAAAAAAAAAAAGCAAAAGGGGAAAAAAAGAAGAAACTGAAGTCCAAGGACATTGTTAGTGGAGAAAATTGAGAGAAAAACAAGGTGTTCGGCAAGCTGTAAGTGTCCAGAGCTGCTGGAAGTCAGGGATGGCTAAGCGTAAGAGAGAGACACTGTGAGTTAGAGACATCAGTCCGGGAGGGGCTGCTCTGGGGGCGGGACAGGGAGAGTGAGAACTCTTAGAGCATCAGGGTAAGCACGTAAGATTTGGGTCCTTAGACAAAAGACAGAGAGATGAATGGATGGATGGATGGACGGATGGACGGACAGACAGACAGACAGACAGATAGATAGATGAGATAAATGAGACAGACAGATAGATAGACAGACAGATAGATAGATGGATGGATGGATGGATGGATGGATGGATGGATGGATGGATAGATAGACAGACAGACAGATAGACAGACAGACAGATAGATAGATAGATGGCATGTTTTTTCAATGAAAGTAGACAAACAGCAGTGAGGATCTGTAAGCAACTGCCAAACAAAACAAAACCACAAGCAATTGATCTTAAGATTGTTTTTTCAATTTCATAGCAGCACTGATTTTTTTTTCATGTCTTTGTTTCTTCATCCAACATTTCTATACTAATTTTTTTTACTCTTTAAACAAATGGTCTGGCCCTATTCACAGCTATTTACAGAGATCCGACATTCATAAAGTCAGTTAGAAAGCAAGCAAGCTACATTCTTGGAATGGGACACCGTCTCCACTCAGGTCTCCTTGGCAAACACTGACGGGAATATTATGGGAAACGGGCGGCAGAGGGCAGTGTGGCTATAGTTGTCCTCTAGGAATACATTGCTTTCCTGTCCTATGATTTAACTTAACATCATGTTAGGAAGAGGACTCTTGAGACAAAGAATTGCTATGCAGCTGAGGCTACCTCAGCCTCCTGAGCATTGGGGTTATGGGGCGGGGGGGGGGGGGGCAGTGCTACCATGCTCAGCTAAGTAATTTTAGCTTTTCCCTTAATGTTTCTTTTTAATTTCACAGCCCAGGAAAGCAGCAGTCACACTGCTAAAAAATCCTTCAAAACTGGGGCACCTTGGGGTCTGTGGTCAGTACGTACACAGATCTCACAGAACCTCCCAACTTTACATTTCTCTCCCGCAAGGCCCCAACCCGCCATTTAAGAATTTTACGTTACCTTTCGCCTCCAACACTCTTGCAGCATTTGTTGCAACTCTGTAAAACAGTGACAGTGCGTATGGAACACGGCAGTCGAGTGCACACCGGCAGCGTGCGTATGAAACACGGCAGTCGAGTGCACACCAACAGCGTGTGTGGGAAACACGGCAGTCAAGTGGACATTGTGACCTCAACAACTCAGAACCAGCAATTGATGAAAAGCTCTGGGCTCTCTGCCTCGAAAATCCAGACAGACACATAATTTCGCCCAGGATTTCAAAGGATGCCATAGACACTAATTTAAGGGTCTTCTTCTTTAGTAGATTATTCCAGAATAGATATCAGTGTCATGATTATGCAGGGAGTGTAGGGACTTGCCATTGTCTTGTAAGCAGGCATACTGTGAGAGAGGCCCCCTTGCCATTTCTGGAGTGAGAAAGACTAAGGAACCGAGGTATCCCAGCTCAGCTTCCCTTCCCCATTTACTGCACCTTTGAAGATACAAAACCCCTGTGAAGACACGAGGACCCACTAAAGGACAACACACGGGCTCCCACTTACCCTGTGCCCAGAGAGTGGCCCCACAGACACACGGGGGTCCCACCACTTCTTGCCTTGGTCCATTCATAGACACAGATAGCGTCTGTGGTTAGCCCCTCCTCAGTGGGCGACCCGGTAGAATCCCCGAACCCTGGCAGCAAGAAGGGGCGAGCACAGTATCACACCCTGTGAACCGAGGTGGCGTCATCAAAAGCCTCTGTCCCCGCACATCTTTGTCACTGTTCCCAGCACGTACCTCTGTAGTCCACAGACAAGACATGAAAGCCCCCGTCACTCAGCACCTGCATGCCAAATGAGCGGTTATCACTTCAAGCAGTGAGACGATCCCAACAGAGAGGGCTCCTCATCAATACGTCTATGTCCCTCTGTTGTAATGGGGGGAGAGATGTGTTCGGAAGGGCTAGGATCCCGCTCACTGGCAAGGCACATGCCTAGTGTGTTCAAGGTGCTTGGTCTGAGTCCCAGAATCACAAAGATTCTGTATTTCTTTTTTTTTTTTTTTTAATCTAGAGATGAGAGTTTTTTCCTTGTCACAGTCTCAGTGGAGCAATCTCTAGAGCTGGAGGTGTGGCTCCGGTACCCACCTAGCATGCTCAAGGCCCTGGGCTTGATTCCTGAGACCACACGCACTCTCTCTGAAAGAATGAATGACTTTCCCTGAGAATGAAACACTACACAGAGTTGTGGGGAGAGACACTCTCATAACGGGGAGGTGTTTATCTCGAATATGGTCAGATAAAAGTTGTATTTTCAACTAAAAAAAAAGAAAGAAAGACATCACCACTTGAATACATGAAATCATTGCCCAGCCCCAAGTCGGTAAAGAAAAAATATGAAAATTTAATTTTAAACAAGCTGAAAATACAATAGACAAAGAGGAGCAATTCTTAAAGATGCGTTTTGTAGATGAACTGAAGTGAAGAGTCAGAGTAACTAGTTATAAGTCTTCCAGCTCCTTATGGGCGGAGCCAAGATTGCAGCCCACGCCTGCCTGGGCCTGCCTGCATCTATGTAACTGTGGCTTCCCACTGCGGTGGCTGTGTGTGGCTAAGCCTGATCAGGGATCTTCAACATTCCAGTCAAACTACAAGTTAGAAACGAACTGGAACTTTCAGCTTGAGCCAACACACAGTAGGCGGGCACCAGGGAGGTGGAGTAGGGTCATCCATGAGTGGCTTGTAGCACCCCATATTGAGTAAGGATAGCAGTAACAACTCTCACACTCCAATATTTACTCCTAGGAAAGTAAATAAGACACGGAAAACAAAGTAGATGCCTTCAGTTTTCCATAGCTGTACTATTTAAATAAATTCAGGGGCAAAAAAGTAGAACTTTATAACATCAGTGGACTAGCTAGCAGTTACTTATGAATTAACTGGAAAAGGTACAGTCTTTAAATCGGTAATTATGACCCCTATGTAAGCACATGAAAAAGAGAGCCGAGTGTGTGATGCACGCCTAAACCCAGCCTTTGGGAGGCAGAGGCAAGCAGATCTCTGTGAGTCCAAGGCCAGTCTGTTCTATATCGAAAATTTCAGGCCAGCCAGGGTTACATAATAAGACCCTGCCTCAAAAAAAGATGAGGAAAACCAAGAAAATGAAAGTGTTTATAAAAGAGTGTTGAAGTGTGCAATGCAATTTATATTTAGATACAGCCACAGTATGAAAGGTTTATATGAAAGAGAGAAAGGCCAGTGGAGAATGAGCAGAAACAAGAAACAGGATTGGGGAGGGGGAGGGGGGAAAGGAAGAAAAACGTGATAATACAGACCTTTTGTTTTAGAGGAATCACCTGCCCAGACGGGTGAAGAAATTTGTAGAAGTGAGATCAAAATGATGAGAGGGTTTTGGGGCCCAGAGTTATTACCATGTGTTTATATGCACATGTACACGCGCATGCGCACGCACACGCGCGCACACACACTCCCAGTGTTATTCCCATGTTTACACACACACACACACACACACACACACACACACACACACACACTCCCAGTGTTATTTCTATGTTTACACACACACACACTCCCAGTGTTATTCCCATGTTTACACACACACACATACTCCCAGTGTTATTTCCATGTTTACACACACACACACACACACACACTCAGAGGTGTTCCCATGTGTTTACATATACACTCCCAGTGTTATTCCCATGTTTACACACACACACACTCACAGTGTTATTCCCATGTTTACACACACACACATACTCCCAGTGTTATTTCCATGTTTACACACACACACACACACACACACACACACTCAGAGGTGTTCCCATGTGTTTACATATACACTCCCAGTGTTATTCCCATGTTTACACACACACACACACACACACACACACACACACTCCCAGTGTTATTCCCATGTTACACACACATACTCCTGGTATTATTTCCATGTTTACACACACATACTCTCTCAGAGGTGTTCCCATGTGTTTACACACACATTCCCATTGTTATTCCTGTGTTTACACACACACTCCTGTCCCCGTCAAGGTAATGGACGAGCCGCTCATGGGGTACTGATCTCTCAGGAGACCATCACACTGAGGCCCTCAAGGGGAACTCCAGACTGTAACGCTGACAGAACTGGAGGAGACTTAGAGTACTGGTGCTCTGTGACCTCTCAGACTTACCTTGGCCAGCTTGACTCTGTGAGGAGCTGCCCTGTGGAGGAGAGGGGCAATTAGGATGGACCATGACAAATTCAATACAAACCTCTCACAATGTCCCCCCTTTCTCTTCTTTTTTAGATTTTTGTTTTGTTTTTGTGCATTCTGTTGTTGTTATTGTTGTCTGAGAAAGGCTACACTCTGGAGTCCTGGCTGGCCTCAAGCGCACAGAGATCTGTCTGCCTCAGCCTCCCAAGTGCGGGGAATAAAGGTGGGTATTACCATGCCTGGCCTAACACAGGTCTTTGTTTGCTTGTTTTGCTTTTTGAGACAGGGTTTCTCTGTGTAGCCTTGGTTGTCCTGGAACTTACTCTGTAGACCAGGCTGGCCTCAAACTCACAAAGATCCACCTGCCTGCCTCTGCCTCCCAAGTGCTGGGATTAAAGGTGTGCACCACCACCACCACCACCACCACCACCCCACAAAGAACTATTTCTTAGTGGCAAGGCCAGCTTGCCTGTGTCAGGACCAATGACTGAAAGACCCCACCTACACCCCCACCTTTCCTTGGATGTGCTGGTCTCTCCAGGGCTTCCCAACACAGGCGTTTGATGATGTACTGATAACCCATCTCTGGGTTCTGTGCAGCAGAACTTACCTTTAGGTGTTCTCTGTAAGCTAAAGGAAAGATTCTAAAGAGCAACTTCAGAACTGGGAGTAGGGGTGAGGGTGGGACTGGATCATGCACTCAATTACAATTTGTCTGAACCCCACTAATTCTGCCACAAAGCTCAAGAAGAAATGAAGGAGAAAGACTTGCCTTTGCAAGTACAAAATACCCCCAAAATGACAGCATCCACACTCACCTCAAGAAAAGAAATCAAAGAATTAGCCAAAAGGCAGAAAATCCCTTTAAAAACAAAACAAAACAAAACAAAAAAAACCCAGCCGGGCGGTGGTGGTGCACGCCTTTAATCCCAGCACTCGGGAGGCAGAGGCAGGTGGATCTCTGTGAGTTCGAGGCCAGCCTGGTCTACAGAGCGAGAGCCAGGACAGGTTCCAAAGCTACACAGAGAAATCCTGTCTCGAAAAACTGGAAAAAAAAAAAAAAAACAAAAAAACCATTAGCCTTAGAGCCAAAGTTGTTCAATGTTAATGAGCCATGGAACCTCTGAGCAGCTAGTTAAAGCTATAAACCCATTTCCTAGAAACAAAAATGGACCCACATTTCAAGTTTATGACTTTAGGAATGGGTTCAGAAGTCCTAAAGTCCCCCATAGATCTGGGGCCTACATACACTGACTTTGGTCCTTTGACAAGTTCTCCTGTGGCTTCCTGTTGGAGGAACAGTGCTCAGTACTCAGCACTGGGAGCTCAGTACTGCTGACTGTTAGCCGAGACTTCAGGGTCGAGGCTGAGGAGGGTGTGGCCCGCGGGCCCGGGTCGACTGAGGACAACTTCAGATTCACACACAGACACCGGCAATGGCAGTCTGGTGTACTGATCCTTTAAATATACCTACTGTGACACTGTCCAACTTCATAAACCAGAACAATGCTAAACAAGGCCCACTGTTCAGTCTCACTGAAAAAAAAAAAAAAATCTTAGGGAACGCAATTCTAAAACGGACGGACAGAGTATGAAAACTCCTGGAGAGAAGGCAAGACGTGAGAAAGCCGTCACCTGACAGAAAATGACAGGCAGAGAGGCACAGGCGAGCGAGCCGGCCGGCAGGTTCCTGAGCCTGTCACTGGGTTTTTGGGTTGAAGTGTCTGTGCCCCACCCCCACCCCCCAGACGGGAGGGAGACAGTGGGTTTGTGAGACACTGTCCCCTCCCCCTCCCGGCGGAGCAGGCCCCAGCTGATAATCACGTGGGCCAGGGAAGGCTTTGACAGCGCATCAAAGGACAAGGGGCTTCTGGGAGGCCAACTTCGGGACAATGCCAGACAGGGACCGCAGGGACTGGGTTGAGGCATGAATACGGGAGAACGGGAGAACGGAATCGATCAGAGTCCTCCGTCTCTGTGGTCAGAGTTCCAGGTGACTTCTCTCAGGCCTCAGACTTCAGATGAAGGGAATTAATGCTAAATAAAGGACTCTTCACTATCCTTTTCTGAAGGAGACCACCGGTGTGGAAATTGCTCTTTGTCTGCCCTTCAATGCACACCTTTTCCAGTGGTCCACGGGTTTGCCAATCCATGGAGTGTTTGGAGACTGTTTGGAGATAGCATGTGTTACAACGGGAATGCTTGTCTCATAGGGAGCCAAGCACATATTCAAAGAAATGCAGAAAGAAGCTTTTACAGGCCACATGAAGAGGACTGCATGAAGCCCTTTGGAAACAATTATTCCTAGCTACTAGGATTAGCAGCAACCAGTCTGAGGCTGAGGGGGGGAGTGGCTGGGCAGATATTCCCGCACAAGAATCTGAGGTCCCAGTGGCCTTTGTGCAAGGCTGTGTGTGGTTCTGTCAAGCCTGCTACGGACAGTTCTTCCTGTCGGACACACGCATGAGAACCCCTTCCTCCAGGCTGCTAGCTCTAGTCTTTTCTTGGTTTAAAAACAACTGATTCCATTTGGATTCAATCTATCATCTTGGATAATCTTAGGGATTAAAGAAACCAGTGGCTTAATTGAAATCGATACAGACCCTTTTGGAAGAATTACTATTCCCTCCCTGTCGGAAACAGACTCACATCATTCTACATGCCATGCAGACTGCTTGTTTAAAGAGAAGCCATTTGCCAGAACACCATTGCATTTCAAAAAAACAAATAGAAATAGGCGAAGGCATATCTGTGATTGAAAACTGCTTTCAGTCTCCCGTAGCTTAGAAATGCTCTTAATCTCTCAAAAACAGATAGACAGACAGACAGACAGATAGACAGATAGATAGATGACAGATAGATAGGTAGATAGATAGATAGATAGATAGATAGATAGATAGATAGATGACAGGTTGATAAATGATAGGTAGGTAGATAGATAAATAGATAGACAGACAGACAGACACTCCAAGCAGAGGTGCTGACCTGTGTTGTGCACTGCCATGAAGATAAACAATAATTGGGTTCCCATCATGAAGGGCAGCTTCATACCAGCAACGACCCTTCCCTTTGGCGTCTTCTCCCCGGCAGCTGGGGACCATGTGCCTGAAGAGCAAGGAAAGCTTTTACGAAACTACAGAGGCAGAAACTTGCTTCCTTCCCACACCCTTATTCCAGAGATCACATACCAAAGCAACGGCTAAGTGTGTGCGTACTTTGAGTAATACATGCATAAGCTAATAATAATAAAACCTAAAAGCACAAAATACCTGAGGAAAATTGCTATTGCTACGGCACCACCCCACACAGGGGTCACTGTTTACTGCTTTAATTCCTGCAACTTTTGTTTCTATTAAGAAATTTGCAAGATTGCAGTTCTTATGTGCAAGCCATTGAATTATCAACAACAACAAAAACCAGGTTGAAACAAGCAAAAGATAACAGAAATTTACCCAGAATTTGAACATGAACCCAAATTATTTTTCTTTTATCTCTCAGTAACCAATATATTATTAAGACACTCATATAGTTCAATAGTTGCTTAAGTTTTGATGCTCAGATTTCAGCATATGAACACATGGGGACTTCGAAATAACAATTAAAGATGTTCAACAATGTCATGTGGGTGGAGGTGATGGCTAATCTTGGTTGTTAACTTGACACACCTAGGAAGAATGAACCTCGGCTAAGGAATACCTTCCATCAGATTGGCCTGTGGGCTTGTACATGGGATGTTTTCTCAATTGTGAGTCGATGAAGGAAGGCTCACTAAAACAGATGGCTGATGATGTGGAAACCTAGTGCAGTGGAAACTCCCTGGAATCTATGAGAGTGACCTAGTGAGATCTCATAGCAATGGGGGATACAGAGTCTGAACTGGCCGTCTTCTATAACCAGGGAAGGCTTCCAGCAGTGGGACTGGGACGCCAATCCAACAACAAAACCTCTGGCCTGCTTGCAAGATGTGCTGGGGTAATAGTGGCACAGAACTTGTGGGAGTGGCCAACCAATAACTGGTCCAACTTGAGTCCCATGCCATGAGAGGGAGTCCATGCCTGACACCACCCTGATGGTCAGGAACCAGAGGCTAGACAGCCCAACGACCCAGGATTCAAACATCATCCAGCAACCGATGGGAGTAGATGTAGAGACCCACAGCCAAGTACTAGGTGGAGCCAGGGGAACCCCGCAAAAGAGGGGGAGGAAGGATTGTAGGAGTCAGAGGGGTCAAGGACACCACCCCACAGAATCAACTAATCAGGACTCATAGGTGCTCACAGAGACTGAAGCAACATTACAGAGCCTGTATAGGTCTGAGCTAGGTCCTCTGCATATATGTTATGGTTGTACAGCTGGGTGTTCTTGTGGGACCCCTCACAGTGGGAGTGGGGGTGTCTCTGACTCATTTACCTGCTCTTGGCACCCTTTTCCTCCTTCTGGGTTGCCTCATCCAGCCTTGATATGAGGGTTTGTGCCTAGTCTTATTGTAACTTGTTATGCTGTGTTCAGTTGATATCCCTGGGAGGCCTGCTCTTTTTTTGAGAAGTGGATCTGGGGGAGAGGGGAGATGTGTTGGGGGGGTGCTGGGAAGAATGGAGGGAGGGGAAACTGCAGTTGGGATGTAATGTATGAGAGAAAAAAGAAAGTGAGAGAGGGAAGGAAGGAAGGAAAAAGAAAGAAAGAGAGAGAAAGGAAGGAAGGAAGGAAGGAAGGAAGGAAGGAAGGAAGGAAGGAAGGAAAGGAAGGAAGGAAGGAAGGAAGGAAGGAAGGAAGGAAGGAAGGAAGGAAGGAAAGGAAGGAAGGAAGGAAGGAAGGAAGGAAGGAAGGAAGGAAGGGAGAGAGAGAGAGAGAGAGAGAAAGAAAGAAAGAAAGAAAGAAAGAAAGAAAGAAAGAAAGAAAGAAAGAAAGAAAGAAAGAAAGAAAGAAAGAAAGAAAGAAAGAAAGGGGGCTTAAATGTAAACCCAGGAGCAAGCCAGTAAGCAACCATCCTCCGTGTCTTCTGCTTCAGTTCCTGCCTCAGGTTCCTACCCAGAGTTCCTGCCCTCATCTCTCATCCCTCATCCACGGACTGTACTTTGTAAGATAACATAAACCCTTTCCCTGTCAAGTTGCTTTTGGTCATGGTGTTTATCACAACATAAAGCAAACTGAAATAGCTCTACCCACCATTAAGTGATGGTTACTTCAGAGCACAAGTCAGGTGGTTTAAGGTAAGTCTGTAACATACCCCAAGAACCTTCCTAGATTATACACGCAAGTTTCTCCTTCACAGACAGATCTCTTTAATTTCTAAGCTCTGAAGTCACTACTCAAGGGAAGCCATGCAGTCTAACTAATGAAACCAAGTGGCCTCAAGATTGTAAACACCCGTCTTCAAGTTCTTCTGTCTTGTTCAGCTAACAAGAGAACCCTGAAAGTGTTGCATTGTATCATTTCACAGGGACATACAGAACTGGCCAAGAGGCAATGAATCTTCAGTCCTGTCAGTCACCAAGGAACAGAAGCCCACCATCCACAGGACCTCCGGAAACACTGATGCCTCTGTCCTCTGGGTAATCTGCTCATGAACATAGCCGTCTCACCATGTGCATGTGGTCAATCAAATGATTGGCTAGACTGTCCTTGAGGATAAGGAAAAAGTTATATGCACTGTTACCAGAACATCTTCCTGTTGGAACTTCAGACTCATGGAGATGAACTATAAAACAGAGCATTAGTAATGGCAGCCAAGAGCAAGCAATAGACCCAACGAGAGGGTTCTCAAGATTATAACAGAAATAAAATAGAAGGCACAAGACCTCTTTTGACCTTGATTGGGTGTTTTCTGTGTGCTAGAGTTAGGCTGTGGATGAACCCACCACCAGAGGCTGTCCGCCCACGGAAGCTACAGTCTCATTAGGAAGGCACAAGTAGGCCAGTAATCATAATGTTTATTCCATGACAATAGAAGAACTGCCCTAAGCGTTGAACACAGATGGCCATAAGCGAGTTTACCGGAAGAGGAAGAGGAGGGGATAGGAAGGTTTCCTGAAAATGACCAAAGTGAGACCCTCAGATGAGCGACAGTGGGGTGGGGCATGGAGCGTTGGCATAAGGAGGGAGCAGAGCAAGTCCTGGTTGTGGTGTTTGTCAGGAAGTCAGTGTGTCTGCCCATGATGGCAAGGATGGATGGCAGAAGGCAGACGTAGGTGGGACCAGAAGCCAAGAGCGCCATTTTGTACGACTTCAGACTCTAAAGCAAACGGTCTGTAAAGTAAAGTGGAGCAAGGGAGTTGCCACAATAAAAGGAAAGGTGTACAGAACAGCTTCTAGAAGCTTCCACAGACAGGTCCTGCACAGGCAGGCAGCACAACCTCACTTCCTCTATGTTCTTCTAGCAGAAAGTTTTGCTCCATCTCCCCCAATATCCGTGTGTGTGTGTGTGTGTGTGTGTGTGTGTGTGTGTGTCTGTCTGTCTGTCTGTCTGTCTCTGTCTCCCTGTCTGTCTCTGTCTCCATCTCTCTTCTTTCTACGGTTGATGCACGTGAGACGATCAGGCCTTCTTAGATGGTTCAGAGGCTCACACATGTGCTTACCACACAGGCACAAGAGCCCGAGTCAGGAAGGCATCAGTCAGCTCACTCACCAGACGCCGAGCAGCACCCCAGGCTCGGACCTGACGAAGAAGTTCACTGTGTGAGCGATCGTCGACTCAGGCTTCTTTAAATCCACAAGAAGGGGAGTTTTATCTGCAAAGCAGAAATCGTACTCAACCCCCAGCACCAGGCTCTGTGCCTGTCCATCCGTTTTCAAAGAAGCTTCACTTTTGTGAGCGAGTCAGTTTTAAGTTGCGAGCTAAGCCTTTCCAGAGTGAAAAAGCAGAAGAAACCATTTCTCTAAAAAGGTAAGTAGAATCGGGCAAAAATAAACCCACGGGGAATACCATTATCATCAGCTGTAAGGCAAAATATAGTCAGTCCTGACACACAACAGAGGGCGAGACACTTAGAGCTAGGGCTCCAGTATGGGGGGTAGAAGTCAATCTCCGTCTCTCTCTCTCTGTCTGTCTCTCTCTCTGTCTGTCTCTCTCTCTGTCTGTCTCTCTCTCTGTCTCTCTCTCTTCTTCTTCTCCTTCTTCCTCTCCTTCTTCTCCTTCTATAATTGATGCAGGTAAGAAGAAGAATTAGGAGACTGAAGTGGTGGCTCAGTGGATAACGTGTTCGCTCTCCACACAAGCATAAGAACAAGTGTTAGGGCCCACCACGCCCACATAAAAAGCCAGGCAGACATGGCGGCCAGCCTGAAACCTCAGCAACAGGGAAAAAAAGCAGAGGATTCTGGGGTAAGCTACTGAGACTAGCCAGATCTGTAAACTCCTCTTCAGCAAGAGAAGAGTGATGAGGAGAGCACCCAGTGTCAACACACACACACACACACACACACACACACACACACAAATGCTCACATACACATATACACACAGACATACATACATATGCATACACACACATACTCATACACACATATGTACATATACACACATACATACACAAACATTCAGGCACACACATATACACAAACATACACAGAGACATATACACACATATGCACATGCACATACACAGACACACACACGTGCTCACATACTCATACAGACATATACATATACATACAAACACATATTCCCATATACACATATACATATACACACACTCATACACACATATGTGCACATGCACACATATATACACAAACATTCAGGCACACACACACAAACATGCACAGAGATATAGGCACACACATGAACATATATACAGACATACACAAAGACACACACACACACACTTTCTAGCAGTGATGGATGAATTTGTGCTAACCGTCAATATAGTAGGTTTCCAATCACGTAAGTCTAGCCAGGGTTTTGTGACATGTGACTTTTCTTGTGTCATGACCTTAAGAGCAGTGAGTTCTTCAATTGGGAGAATTTATATAGGAACATCCATGGGCAGTACATACTCACAAAAATTGAAATAAATCATCATGTTCACCAGAGGAAGAAAAACGCGTTCCTTGAAAGATTTCCTCGTGAAGCTTCGGTATCCATCAGCAATGTTTCTCACAAGTGCCGAGCAGGCGCGAGGGAAAGATCTGCCAAACATTGAGATTAAAGTTTTCAAGATCAGCCCGAGGTTTGTCCTGGCTTGTTTGTCTTTCAAGATTCAAATCCAGGGGCTGGAGAGATGACTCAGCCATTAAGAGCACTAACTGCTCTTCCAGAGGACCTGGGTTCAATCCCCAGCATCCATATGACAGCCCACAATTGTCTGTAGCTCCAAGATCTGACACCCTCACACAGACATACATGCAGGCAGAAACACTAATAAAAGAAAAAGAGATGAATGATTTTTTTTAAAAGAAATGCCTTTTAAAAAAAAAGATTCAAATCCAATTCCAGAGGCTAACCCTGGCACATAAGCAAAATCCTTCACACAGCTGCTTGTAGCTATATCAAGTGGCACTGTTGGGCAGTCAGGTGAGGAAGACCATCAGATAGAGCCCCTGCCAGTCCCTGCAGAAGCCCAGTGTAGCTGGAGCAGGAAAGGAAGCTATGACCATGCATCTGGGTGAGCAGCCCATGGGAGGCCTGGACAGGACCCTGAAGTCAAACACAAAGAGCTGCAGACGGCTTCGTCATGCCCCAGCTCAGAGCCCCATTAGCTCAGAGTGAGCAGCCACTAAAATCATGCACGCTCTTCTGGCTGGGTCTCAGAGAGCAACCTGTAGAAGACCCCCACCTTTGAGAGGAAAACGACCTGTGAGGACCAGGGACAGGAAAGGACCCCAAGGCACTCCAACAGGGCTGAAGCCAGGGCAGGGCGACGTTGGCTCACACACATCTTCCTTCTTTTTCGGATATTTGTTTTTATTTTATGTGTATGTGTGTTTTGCCAGCATGTATGTATGTGTACCGTGAGTGGCTCTTGGGCTCTTACATCTTTCTTTTACTGTTCTCTTCAACACCAACACCCGAAGCTAAATGCCATGGCAGCCCAGTGATGACTGCCCACTAAGGCCACCCATCTTAAGCCACATTTTTCACGAAGTTCAAGATCATGTCCTACCTTTGAGAGGTGAGAGATAAAAAAAAAAATTAGCACCTTCATCTCCTGCTTCCCACTTAAGATCCCACCATCCACTGTGCAAATCCTTTTCCCTATGCCAATTGGTCAGCACTAATTGCTCAATGTGATGTCCTTAGAAGGTTGCATTGATCGCCTCTGCTAGACCAGAGCGGATGGGGCAGAAACTGCCATCATCTTGCTTTGCAAATGAGAAGTGTCGGCAGTCAAGACGCCCTCCTTCCCAAGGCCGCAAACCAATGAATGAACCACTGTCCCCAAGTCTGCCTGACCCCAGAATTTTGCCATGATCTCCATCCAACAAGCTGTCACAGACCTGCTGAGTTCTACGTGCTCCCAGCGCAAGCGAAGAGGACCCCAGGAACGAGGCCAGCCTCCACCAAAATTCTTTCCCCCGGGGAATGGTATTTCATACTCCCTTCCCCCTCGGTCTTCAGAGTCCCTTCCTCCTTAGCCTCTTTCCCCTTTTCTGTCCCTGTATTTACAGGAGCCTCCGGTTATGGAAGCAGTCAACCTCTAAACAATATTCCTTCAAGTGTTGATGACTTAAAAATCAAGGCGCTCATCCAATCTCCAAAAGAAGCTTGAAGAGAGATGATGTGTCATGGATTTTGGACCCGTCTGCCAGCAGTGGAGAGCTACACAAGCTCCAAGCAACAGGTCGCTCTTCAAATATATCACACATGGGCGACTGCCTACCCACAGAACCAGCAAGAGAGACACGAAGAGGGTTGTTTCGTAACACTCTAAAATAGTCCCCACGAAGGCAGCAGGAAGGGCAGGGCATTGTTCTGATTTTAGAGATGAAAATCACAACCCCAAGATTCTGCTCTGAGCCACAGATCAAGGCAACTGGGGCAGACAGAGCAGGAGTCTGTAGGGGTGGGCTTCTTTCCAGTGTGCGGTCTCTGCATTCCTGCACTGTCCCCCTACACACACACACACACACACACACACACACACACACACACACACACACACACACACGTCCTTGCCCTCCAGGCTCCCCTTAAGTTATCTTTTGAAGGTAGGCAGGGTAGTCTCCTGCTAAGTTACCTTTTGAAGGTCTGTCTGCTTGGGGAACAGAAGCATTGAAAGAAAATATGTTTCTTTTTTTTTTTTTTAAAGGAATAATTTATACGGGACCTTTTTCTCAAATAGCTCAAGGCACTTCAGTGAGAGCCACTTAGGAGAGAGAAGAGAATGACCTGATCCCCCAGCATCAATAATGCAAAGGGCTTCTTTTAATGAAGGGGCTGTCTATTTGATTTCCCCTAGATCGGCAGAGGATCAAAAGTCACCAGTGGCTAACAGACCTGATTTGAGCAGGGGAGGCAGTTTCCGGCCGGTCCTGGCTATAGGCTGGCTACATCAAACAGACACCTTGGAACTGGGGTGTTCTTTCACCTGTCTCTTGATCAGCTGCAGCCGCAACCACAGGGTGCCTCAGAGGGGCCAGAGGACCTTGCTAGGCAATTCTTCCCGGTGGAAACCGGCTGGAGCCGGAGCTTATGTAGAGTGAGCCCTTCCTGCCCAGAGGTGTCCACAAACCAGCTTTTGGGAGCCCAGATCAGACAATATTCAGCCAAAAAACTATTGTTATTTTAAGACATCTGTACCTCCATTCTGTCGCTGACTGACACAGTCAACACGTGCTGATCAAGGAGTACCAGGTTATGCCCTCTCCACCGGATTCCACCCCACCCTCTTTGCACCCTGCACGCACTCAGGTGTTTTTTTGGTGACAAACCCTCTAGACACAGACCTTCCCTCTGTGGGTTTTCCTTTCTGCCCTTCTCACTCATGAGCTTTGCCCTCAGATTGACCCTTGGTTGCTTCCCTATGATGAACCCGTCTTCTTCACTACATGCCAGGTCCCGAGAACCACACAGCAGAACACAGCTGCCTGGACACCCCTCTCTGTCTAGCACATGTCCAAGTGTAGTCTGTATGTGCCGACCCATACAGTGAAGACTGGCAGAGGCACGTTGTTTATAAGGGTGAAAGCGGTCATGGGGCAGGCAGTGGGGACTTGAGGGCTCCATCCTTTACTTTGTTTATGTTTTAACTGCAGTTGAAAAGTGAGTCCCCAAGAGCTCTGCAAGCGCAGGGATTGTTGACCCTTTTGTTTGCTCCTGTGGATGCCGAGTCCTAGGTTAGCCAGTGACAGATAGAAGACCTGTACTGTGGGAAGAATTAGTAAAATCTTCAGCCCCTCCCAAGAGTTCTCTTCGAACCATCTATAACAATAAGGCAGTGGCCAAACAAAGAGGAAAACAGCCTTTAGGCTTTCTCCTGGCTCCTTTCCCGAGACTAGTTTCCATTTTAAACGGCTTGCAAGTCAAGATTTATTCTCATGGTCCCAATCACCTTAGGTAGTAACCGTATCGGACGAGCTTTTAAAATAAATATACTAGCAGGGAATGTGTCTGGGTTAGCTCTTTGTCAGCTTGGCACTAGAATCATCAAGAAAGAGGAATCTAAGTTAAAGTGCGTCCACTGGATTGCCTGTGAAACAAGTATGTGGAACATTTTCTTGATTAATGACTGATGTGGCAAGGTCCAGATCGCTGGGCGCATACCATCCTTAGGCAGGAGGGTCTGGGTGATTTTAAAGAGCAGGATGAACAAGTCAGTAAACAGTGTTCCACCTTGGCCTCTGTTTCAGTTCCGGCCTCCAGGTTCCTGCCTCGA